AGCCATATTATTAAGAAGAGAAAAAGAAAAATACAAAGTATAAATGGAAATAGTTTGGGCAAGCTGAACATTGTTTCTACTGTGAATGGTTCAGTCCCCTGCCCATATTTGCTTTTTCTTTTTGAAAAGAAAGTCAGAGAAATACTAAATCTTGGGATATTAAACAGCTCAGGGCGGCTAGGCATTGTTTCCATGGCGAATGGCCTAGTCATCTGCCCAAAAGAAAAGAGAAGTAGTTGTGCAACCTGTTCGTGTATATCATAAAGACAAGTTGGGCATTGTTTCCATGGCGAATGGTCCAGCTCTATGTTTTATGTAAGATGGGTATAAGGATTCAAGAACTTGAAAATTCACGAACTATTTATATAGAATGAACTTGGGAGGGTGAAAGTACTTACATTCGTGGTTTGGTTTGCATTTGACTGGATGGGATGACTAGTTTGTTTAAGTTTCATTACTATAGGTAGTTGCTGTAGTTGCTCGCCACGTGCTAGAGCCATAGGAGTTAGTGTCAATTCCTGCATTTTCTGTAATAACGTTTTTTTACTTAGGTCAATTCCTGCATTTTCTGAGATCTTGTATTTATTTTTGGCTTTGTATAAATCTTGGCAAACTACTTTTACTACGGGAAGCGCTGCCGAAATTTCTACAAATCCAAGAAGTTAATCAACTCTTGACTTGTCAGAGTTCAGCTTGTCCTTTCCATATATGGATTAGTATAAATCTGGAAAGTCTCATTTTCTAGAGGGAGTGCTGCCTAAATTTTTACTAATTCAGGGAGTTAGACAAAATTGGACTTTGAGAAGTCAAAGTTATTCTCAAAATTTTGAACTTAGCCTTGTATAAATTCTGGAATAACACTTTTCTAGAGGGAGTGCTGCCGAAATGTTTACAAAATTAAGGAGTTAGTTAAATTCAGTCTAAAATTGAGCTCGAGCTGTTGTTCAAGTTCATATCTGACTGAGTATAAATTGGGGAAGTCTCCCTTTCTGCTGCCCAAATTTCTACTAAATCAGAGAGTTAGACAGAATTTGACTCTTTTGAGTTAGACAAAATTTGACTTTCCAGAGTTAGAGATTATTTTTGCTCTCATATCTCAGCTTATGTAAATTATGAAAAGACACTTTTCCTACGGGAAGCGCTGCCAAAATCTTCTTAGTTTAGAGGAGATAGATTATATTTTGATAGGTTATTCAGGCGATTCACCCAGAATAGGGGAGATTTTGCAGTTGGTCTACCTTCAACTTAAGCACTGACTTAAAAGTAGACTTAGATTTAGCTAATAAGGAAGTTTGAGTGAGGATGTATTATGGAGTTGTATTCTCCATACACTTATGATCTTAGTTGGGGATTGGTCCGCCGTGTGTTACAGGTCCTTTTGATCATTTGATTGAAGTTCAGGGTTAGATCCAGCTTGATCCCTTGAGGATCACTTACTGTTATCACTGATAACAGGTCAGTTGCCGATTCGTCGGTCTACGACTCAATTTCAACTCTCCCTCTACACTCAACCTAAAAGGTTTTAGCCCTGGTGATTTCGTTATTTTATTAAGGTTTCACCCGGACTTTTATTGAATGACCATTTAACAAAGGTGTTGAGTATTTAATTAAGGTTGGTTGGACAGGAGGTTGGGGCTTGCATGGCTAAAGCGAGGGGTATGAGTGTCGAAGGTGGTTGGGGTTGACTCCGTGTAGTGTATGGGCTGTTGATTTGGTTCGTTGATGTGATGGCAGGTATGTGTTGTGAAGCAGATTCTGGATTTGGTTGCCTACGATCACACATATACGTATTATTGTGAGAAACCCCAGTGAGACCGTGAAAAGTGATCGTCACATACTTAACCCTTATATATGTATACATGGGTATACTAGGGATGAATGTTTGCATGGGTTGAAGAGCCCCCACATTAGAGCTCCACTTAGAAGCTGAGACTGAGAGGCTTAGGCGGAGGTCTCTCCTTTTATTCTTGTCTCTTGCTTTTTGATGATTTTCTTAGTCGGACGTTTGGTCCTGGGTCGGGATTCGAGGTCCTTGTCCAAGACATCCCAAGTCCTAGGCTCTGCAGGGGAGGGGTTTTCCTTCGCGCAGAGCCTATTGAATTTACCTACCGAGACACTCAGGCAGAGAGCCTAAAGTGCAGCGGCGGCTGCATGACTATTTCCTTCAGCCGTGCAATGTCGTGAAAGGTTAGGCCCTCACGACACTTCAAGTCTGACGCTTGAGTGTCATAAGCGGTACTCGGATCCACGAGGGACCGCTTGATTATGGGCACTACATAGTACGCCATCGTTGCGACGGCTTGTGTACGCCTGCATTGGAAGTCGATATGAGTATGCCCTGCGTCCGCGCGGTTTTATACTAAGTTCAGCGCGCGACGCCTATCCGATTTCCGCACTGGAAAGTTATGGGTTGGCTACCGAGGGGCTAGGAGCGTTGTCGCGTTGTTGGTATTGTGTCGTTTCGTATATATGTTGTTTTGTGTGTATGTGTGTTCGTAAAGTGGAGTGCGCGTGGTGTGTGGGATGCGTCCTAGTCGACCGACGATGAGTCGCGCTTGGGACCT